TACTTAAATCGCATTGAAAACGAATACCACAAATGTTTTAGAATAATGTGCAAAATGTGATTGCGATTTTCGCTAAGACAAATTGAAAACTCGTTTCTAACAAGGAAAAGTTGGAATGGTACCAGGTTTTGGGTTAGGTTTTACTTTGAGATATTATTAAAGTTATTACAGGTACTTATTTTCAGAAATAGAACTATGTTCACCACTAATCAGCGTGGCGTGAGTGATGAGGTCTTTGCCTGCAAGTTCCGAACTTCTTCTGCTCTGCTGGTTCGAACTCTGCTTGAACTTTTTTTTTTTATTTTTTCAATCATACTTTAAGCGTACACTAAATATGACATTATATTTTTGTCTGACCTTCGAATATTTTTTTTTAAAGTTAAATTTAACCGATTACATTTAACATATGTTATTTTCAATGTACGAAGTACTTACATGAATCTGGATGGTACTTTTCACAAAAACAGTCAAAACATAAAAATTTCAAGCACCACGTATGTTCGCGCCCGAATTCTTGTTGGTCGGATTGGAGTGAATGCGATGTCGTCGTGTTGGAGAGTTTTCAAATGGTTTATTTTTAACAATAACAAAGTGGACTGTATGATATGTTTTCAAGCGCGTTGAACTGTGGGAGGAACTGTTTCCCCCGCGCTTACTTTAACAAAATGCGTTCAACTCAACTAAAACTGCTGTACTGTTACAGACTTGTTAGTTAGACTTAGTCGGTTAACGACTGAACCGAGAATTGAAACTGGTTTGTCGGTTGACGACTGAAACTAGAATGCAATTGTGTCCGGAGTCCGTTTCCTCCTCAGCTTAGATCCCCTCCAAGAGGTACACTTGGGGGTGTTTTGCAAATTCCTCTGTGGAATCGTGAGTCGATTGATTGGCCATCGGCGTGGGAGAGGAGGACCCATTTTCCTGCCCCAGTTTGGCAGCAAACTCCTCCTTCACCTCGGTGGTGGAGGAAAGTCCCGGGCCACGCTGGCGAGGGTGGCCGAGGTTTCCTCCCCAAGTCGACGGCCGCGTTAATTTATCGAGGAAGAAACGGAACTCCGGATTATCCACGCAACAAGGGGTTGCGTCTGGTCTACGTCTGTTTTTATGGCTATATTGTTCCGCGTGTCGGCGATGGCCGTTGTCGTCGGTGCCTACATTTGGCCTCGACGACCGTACCACCCGCGGAACAATATAGCCCTTCGCTGGTCAACTCGAGTGTCGCGTTTCTTTCGTTTTCCAAAAATGCTATTCTTTTACATTGACATTTGCCAGATGCGAGAGACTCGAAGACGTTTGCAACGTAGTACCGATCCCGCATCTGGCAACATAAAGGACCGGAAACAACTCGAGTTGGCCAGCGGAATGAGCGAGCTTTCGTTTACCGAACAACGTACATTTACTGAAAGTTTTGTTTTCACAGAAATTACAAAATTTTGTATTTAACTCTGATGGAAAGGCCGCTTCATTTACATTGATAAAATGTGAACGATTTTCGGATAGTCGTACCTTGTAGCTCGTACTTTTTACCTTATACTTCAGTTAAAAAGGGATATAGCTGGGAAAAACAGTTTTATGACATTACCTGCTAACTTATGTTACTGTTCTACAATGAAACGCTATGTTTTGTACCTTTAAAAATATTCGACTATGTGCTTTTAAAATTTAAGATACAACCCATACTTTGTATTAAACTGGCAAACGGGATCACTTTTCCTTTGTTTCTAGTTAGTTCTATTTAGTTCGTCATAACCAATTGATACGGTTATTTCAAAACAATCGAGGAAAATCATTATTAATTAATTTCTGCAATTATTAATTCTACTGTTTTGTTTATGTTATAAAAGTAAGAACTCTTCTTATTGAAAAATACCACAGCGTGCACAATACTGGTAAAGAGTGGAATCTCATTTTAATTTATTAATTTTCAATCTTAAAGTATTTTGATTTTCAAAAATCGTATTAATAATATACATATGTGTGCTCATACATGGGAATAAAAAAAAATGTCTTTTTTTTCAGTAATTAAAATATGATCAGGAAGACTTAAAACGTGTATTTCCGTAAAATAAATTTTACAAAATTTTTTTTTCATTATGGGTACTTTGCTTATGTGCGCCTACATAGGTCGGAAAGTAAAAATGCCTGGGCAGTCGAGAATCTCGGCTCGAGAATCCAAATCGTATGCCGTTGACGGGAGGTCGGATTTCAGTTGTTTAGAGCGAGAAGGCAAATGTGAGCCTTTCTCTCTCGACTCCCACGAGGCGATCCGAAATTACTTCGGGCAGCTTCGGAGAATCGAGAAAGAGGGCATGCGTCAGTTTGCCTTTGTCGACTTTCCGAAACTCCACGAGCTCACGTACGCGTATCTGGCATGTGTGCGTGTGCACCCGGCGGTGCTTTTCTGGCATCTCTGTTCCTAACTGTATGTAGGTACATTATTGTAAACCGTGTGGTCAGATCTGGCATAATTGAGTGCATTGACGATGACATTACTAACGACGAACTTCCTTAGCGTTTAATGGAGTGGTGGGGAAAGCCGACATATCTTACCGCACGAGCCACATGTTACGCCAGGTCAGCACTTCATGCAACTTCGGGAAATGGATAAAGAACGTGAACGGAAGTTTTCCACCTTGCTCTTGAACAGCTGAAATTTGTCCTCGCGTCAATGGCATACAATTTCGAATCTCGATTGCCCAGGCATTTTTACGTTTCGAGCTATTATAGGCACATACGTATAAGCAAAGTCCATAATGAATGAAAAATTTTCACGTAAATACACGTTTTAAGACCCCCTGATCATGTTTGAAATAAAACAATACTATGGAAATAAATCATTTGAATATAGTTTATCAAGTAAGACTTTAGAAATTATTTTCAAACGATTTATTTTCTAATTGTTCTATTATTTCAAATAATAATTCTTTAATTTTATAACAAAGAATGTTTATTTAATATTTAATTCAATTTGTATTTGTATATTTTTTGTCTATATGCATGAAATTTCAAGCGAACATTTCTGGCCATAAATTATATTTTTGGTAATGAATTTTTGCATTTCTGAAATAAATTGTTTGAAAATAGTTTATCAAATAAGACTATGAAAACTATTTTTAAACGATTTATTTGCCAAGTATCCATCTAAATGTCTTCTCATTTATACAAAAAATATTTTATATACAATTTAAATGGTATTAAAAGTCATAGATATATTGCAAAACAATCTTTTTCCCCAAGGCAATATTTGTCGGAATTTTCAAAGTTATCAATGTTTTTTTTTTACAATATAATTGTATACCTTTTTTGTTTCATTGCGTTATTGAGTTAAAAATACGTTTAGATATACACGACATGATTTTTGACTTCGAAAATTAAAATGAAACGAAAAATATTTGTTTTTTAAGATCGCAAACTTTTTAGAGATGAACACGATCTGCGGTAACTTGTAAATGTAAATAAAAATGTTTACTACTTTTAATTACAATTTTTTATGAAAATAAACATGTCTCGAACGCGATTACTCTCGTTTACGTATTCTTGGCTTCATCTTATTTTTGTAAGTAAAATAAACATGTGCTACCCTTGAAAAGTTTAATGTTGAACTAATTATTACACAAAACACATGCTTAGACATGAGTTTAAATTTCAAATTTGTCCCTTTTATACGTCACAATTAATAACAATAGTGACGAGAATACTGTAAAGTATCAAAAGTATAGGAAAGTTTTCCATGAATAATTTATTATTGGCATACAAATTTCTATACTCCATACAATTCAAAATAATCAACACAAATTTGATATGGTTACAAAGCAGAGTGATATGGAAAAATGTTTACAAAAATATTGTTTACTTTATTACATAACATAAGCACCTGTTAATACCATTTATTACAAGATTGAAACACCTTTTCAGTCTAAAATATTTTACCTACTTATGCATAACATGTATACTGCGCTTCATTTAAATACCATATCTGTATAATATCTATGGTGTATATGACCTTACAATGAATATTATTAAGAGTTTATTGCAAAATTGTATTAGTGTACCAGAAATAATAATATTGTTCGGATAATATTAATAAGTAACATTAAGTTCAAATTTTTGTTCTTTTAAAATATATTACAATACAAAAATGGGTTTTGTATGATATTACAATAAAATCATATTTTGGAAGCATTTGATAATAAATTTTGGTAGAACCAAAATAAATCATACACAAATATTATTTTTAAGACATAGTAACCACAAGTTATTTCATGCACTTCAATGTGACTGACATCTGTTACAATTTACTCTTTTGTAAATGCACAAAAATTGTCTATTGTAATATAGACATCATATATATTTCTCAATATAAAAAAAAAATTATATAAAGGATAATATGATCATTATATTTAAATATAGACATTCATTGTGCGCATTGATTACTTTTCTTTTGTTTAAAGCGTATATTAAATTTATTACGTTAATATCAAAGGTCCAGGAACATTGGTTCTAGTAGTAATATCATGAAAAGATATGTAATCTAATCCATTAAAACAACCAATCTCGTGTACTTTAAACTCATACAGAGTTTGTCGAACTATAATTACAGTTTAAAACGTACATCTAGTGTGATATGCATTTACAAAATATATAAATTATTTTTGTCTAAAATATAATATAATATAATATAATTGAAAATTCAATTTTTATATTTAATTACATTACATTATTTTAAAACGTATGGATTTGAGCAAAAAATTTGTTCAACCTTTAACACATCAATGTGTTTAAAACTAAAAAAGGTAAAAACTGCGTTACAAAAAACATTGCAGAGTGTTTTTAAAATATTTCATCAAACTTTGGAAATATGTTGCATAAATTTTAAGGATAAAAAAGTAAATATCAAAAGACATGCTAAACAAATTGATAAAGTAAAATCATTTCCTAATTTATAGGGATTTTATATTCAATTTAAAATAATTTAAAAATGCTTTAAAGAAAAGGTCAGAGTAAAATACAATATCTTGAGATGTCAATATTTCTTATCATTTTTTTAAATATGCAACTGAATTTCGACAGTTTTACGAAAATTTATAAAACAATTTGTTCTATGTATTGGGTTGAACTAATTGTAAAAATTACTTTGAAATATTCATAATTATGTAAACAGATAAAATAACGTAACGCGCTACACAACAATTATTGCTTTTAACTCAAAGTTCCTAGTCTTTATTCTTTCTCTCTTTATCATTATTCTAGTTCCACTGTGGAAAAAGAAATAAAAGAAACATGATATTAAAAGGATCTAGATAACATTGTATTTACTAGATATCAATTCATTGAAAGCTTAATTTAGATAATATAGGATATAATTTCACCTTTCAAAATTGTGTCACATGGGAGCAGATTTAAGACTTATTAACAGTCTTGTATCTTTTTACGTTTTATGTACAAAAATGAAAAGTGTTTGAAAAATTTTAAGTTTTATAATCACAGCGCTTACTAATATTTTCAACAGTAATTTCTTCTAATACTCCATAAAAATCCATTGTTTTCATAATCATATTTCATTTCCAAACAGTGTATGAAAGTAGTACTTGCAAATAATTAGATTATTCATACAAATATTATGCGTATTACATAAATGTGTGTTATTAAATAACTGATTTGATTTATGTGCGTAGTAACAATGCAATGATATAATTTTAATGTAATGTATATGTAACCCCCTTTGCACTCTTGTTTTTTAATTAAAAATAAACATTTACATTTTATTTTCAGATAGTAGATCATACTTTTCAGCATATTTAATATTCAGTAATTAATAAATAACATATTTTGATTGTTATAAACAATTACAAATGAGCATGCAAAGGGTTAACATTTTGAAAACTTTTATCTATTAACCAAAATTTATATCTTATGTAAATCTCGCAACGCGGAAAAATACAGGATTAAATATTGTTTATGTGATGTAATATTAATAATAATGCGATAATGATGCATGTTTAAGTTTTAGAATTAATGATCTTATAGATAAAGGAAAAATCACAACCGGCAAGCAGCCAATTACATACTAGTAACAAAAATATGTTTAATGTTATAATAAATTATGCCACATCTGGCTTCAGGTTTTATTAACGGCATACGTTCTAGCTATCAGAACATTCTGATACAATCCCCTAAGTTTGTAGAAAAAGTAGAGAGATTATAATCTACATCTTCTATAAAGTATGCATTATACAATTTGTTAATGAACAAAATGTATGCGTAAGATACTACTCAATTAAAAAATCGTGAAAAATCATTTATTTTCAGATATTGATGCTAAGTTCACTGAAAGTCTAAATTTATTGTATTATTTTTTAAATATTGAAAGAGGTATTTGTTAATGTAATAGATAAAATAATCAGAAGATCACAAATATTTGTTATCCATTAATAAAATCGAACTTTTGAACTAATTGAAATATTAATAAGTTTTAAAAAATTCCGATAACAAAGTAGCCGTACTTGATCACAGGACATTCTAGAGAGTCTAATAATTATATTTATGCACCACTTGAAGGCCTTTCCCAACAACATAACCATCTGCGCCATAATGGTAAAGCTTTCCTGCGTTTATATAATAAACTAGCACCGCCTCGTCTTGTGTTAAGAGCACTAACTATTGCTTGGTCAAATGCCTCTTTAAGGTCATGTTGAGTTAATGCTGATGTCTCTACGTAACTTACAGCACCTACTCTTTGAGCCAATTGATGACCTTGGGTAGTTGTAATCGGCGTTTGGCCATATCTTGCTAATTGTAATGTACGATGTACATCTGGCCTTAAATCACTCTTTGTGCCTACCTGAAATCATTATTATTGCTTCAACCTAAGTTATGACATTTCATTTTCTTGAAATTTTCTAATAACTACTACAAAGTAAACAATTTCATTACCAAAATAATGGGTGCATTTGGGCAATATTTTCGTATTTCATTTATCCAACGAGATGCTACATTATGATAAGAAGAAGGGCATACAACATTGAAGCAGACTAGGAACACATCTGTTTCTGGATAACATAATGATCGCAAAGGATCAAAGTCGTCTTGTCCTGCTGTATCACACAGCTGAATATTTACTGGCTGACCATCGACATTAACAACCACTGTAATAAATTGAAATTATATTATACAAAGTATATTTTTACAGCTTAATTTAAAATTTAAATAGGTTTACTATGTTTTGTTACTTGATAACATTTATTTATCATATCTTGTAAATTTAATAGGATTATCATACTTTCTAAGTTCTCTTTTGCAACATAAATACTTTAGATAAGATTATATAGATAACAGGAAAAAGTATGAGATTATTCATAATAAATCATTTTATACATGTAATAAATATTCACAACAAATGGAATGTGAGTATAAAGTTGATAATAAATATCATTACAAATAATTTTCAATTTTAATTAAACAGATTAAATGGAAGAATACTACCAAAATACTATATTTTATTGTAATCATAAATAACTAATTTTATAATTTTCATAATAAAATACCCAAATAAAATTAGTAATCAAAATTAACAAGATATTGAAGTAAATTTTAATTGTATTTACATTAATTCGTATTTTATTGCAAGAGAATACACAACAATTACTCCTAATTCCATTAATAAAGCACTATCAAATAAAATTCACCATTGTTATTACCTGAAATTAAATTTATTACTATTCGAAATTGGACTTATCACTAGTATTAAATATTACACCAACCATTATAATTATCGAAAGCAGTGGGCACGTATTCTCCGGAGAAATCATTCGTCGAATAAGATACAACGAGGCTGGTCTTTCCAACAGCACCATCACCTACTAGAACGACTTTGATTCTTCTATCGAGCGGAATACCATTGTGTTCCGTACCACTACCGTTTGAATTTTGATTCTGTGCTGTGCATGTCGTTCGTTTCGCTTGCATTTGCATTGTTTGTCTATTCTTCAAAAGGGGCTTAGTCCAATTTGTATGGGATGACGGCGGCATTATTTTGCTGTTTATTTTATCACAGCCACGAGCTTTCATACATACACCACTGATAAAATATCGTACATATAACCTCTACCTGTTCGACGAGAAACGATGCAATCAGTTGCATCTATCGCGACACATTCTTCCTCAAAATCGTCATTTCTCTTTTCTCCTGCTGACACTTGTGGCTTGCACGACCAACGGATTAAGTTTCGGACACGACGTCTTCAATACGCCCTGTCAGGTAAGTACTGTGTATGTCGCTCGAAAACAATGGAACGTACATCGACTAGAAAAGTTGAAAAAAGAAAAAAAAAGAAACTGATTCACCTGCCGCGGCGCGGAGCCACCTGTTATTGGGCTTTTCTTACGGCGGTCACAACCGGTGGCACAGGTACCACGCGGTGGTATATTAAATTGGTTTCTACCTTGATCCTTTGTCTTTGTTTTGAGCAAACACTTTGTGGTTTGATACATTACAATGTTTACGATTAATCATAATATAATTGATGTTGTTCAATTTAAATTCTTTGTTGACTGACGCAATTAATCATTCTTTTATACAGTCTCTAACCGATGACACAGATGATTTGAATGACTCTGTCTAAAGTAGTATGGCCAATGTGGTCAGATACTCAGATTTGGCATAATTGAATGTATCGTCGATGACACTAGTAACGACGAACTTTCTTAGCGTCTAATGTCTAAATTGCGTACTTCGCGCAATTTCGAGAAATCGAGAAAGAAGGCGAATGTGAGCCTTTCCTTCTTGCTTTAGTATCACGTGAAATCCTACCTGGCTACAATTACATTTATCACATACGATTTCGTGTCTTGACTGCTCGAACATTTCTACTTTCCGAAGCTCTGTCTCGCCCTTTTTCTAGATAACCCTACCTTTCTTACTTTTCCTACTCTACATGCAGGGTGCTCGGCATCTATATGTTACAAATTTAAGGGGTAATTCTAGAGGTCAAAATAAGGCGAACATCAAAAATAATAATTTGTTAATTGAGGCTTTTGCGAACAGCTGCGTGCATGCAATAGGTTGAGACAAGTCGGTCCTAGTGGTTCTCACTCAGCATGAGAAACTCTGCTTACTGACGTATCGACAGCCTTACAGTTTTGTAAGTGAGAATCACTAGGCCCGACTTGCCGTGACCTATCGTGCGCACACATTTGTTCGCAGATTGTCGTTCTACAGGCGGATCTTTAAATGTTAATAACTTTTAAACGAAGCCTCAATTAACAAACTACTATTCTCAATTAAATTTTTAACATATAGATGCCGAATACCTTGTATATCTCGTATTTCGTCCCGCAGGCAGAATTAGAATCAAATTTTGGCAGTTACACGAGCACATCAAGTTTAGTCTACGAATAATGTGTTGTATTGTACACCGTTAATTCTTAACTTAATATTTTGACTTTTAATAAAGTATTATTAAGAAGAATACAACATCTACATAGGTCGGAAAGTAAAAGTGCTCGAGCAGTACTACTCGAAATCTCGATACTCGAATATTCGAGCTCGTTCACGCTCGCTTTCTTTTTTGATTTCTTGAAGTACTTTTCTCACTACGTACTTTGTACGCGCTAAAAGAAGTTCGTCGTTACTAGTGCCACCGTCGTCGTCGATGCACTCAATTATATCAAATCTGGCTACACTGTGTGTAGCCAAGATGATATTATTAGTGCGTACAAAATCTATTTTAATCCTACACATATAATTTCGTTCGAACTGTAGGGGGTAAACGCAGTTTAAAATAAACTTGAAATAATCTAGTAACGTCTGGATAATTCTGTGTTCTTTTTAACGCGATGCAAAAGCGGCGCAAGCTTCAGTATTGCACTATAGACTTTCAAAGTGTTACCGGTAGTTGAATTTTTGACGAGTGTATCTCTGATTGAAAAAGTTTGTATGATATAATATCTATTTCCTAGTATGTGTCACATTAATATTATTCATAATCTCTTAACGTCCTTATAATGTATTAACCAGTTCTGTTCGTTTAAGTTTTAACCCTTAGAGAACTATCCGAGAAAGACGTTCGCGACCGGACAACATTTCACATATAATACCGCATATTTTCTAAACTGTTCAAAGTAAAATATTGCAATGAAATTAACGAAAAACATTATTTAGTTAATAGTCTGTTTTTCTATAATAGATTATTCATGTATGCTAAGTAAGTAGAAGGAAAATTGCAAATTTTCAAAGTTTTAATTCAAGAATTTAAAGAAGGCTGAAATGTTTATCATTAATTAGTAATTAATTTACATTTGATGAGAGGTTTACAGAAACTATGAATTTTTAAGATTAGGCATCTAAGACTATTTCTTTTAAATTTTATACAACTATGATGAATATTACAAACATAAGCATCTAATAAAATAAGCATTCTTATAAGGGAGTATGCAGCCATGATACATTTTCCATTCTTATGCAAAAATACTCATTTTCTAAGAGTTAAATTAAAATTTATTTATTTAATATTATACTTAATACAGTATATGAACTCTATTCAATAAGAATTTTTCTTTGGATTTTGTTAAAGGAAGTTTTAAGTTAAAACATTTTCCATTATGACAAAAGCAACTACAACTGCACATGAATGGAAGGAAAAGGGTAACCAGGAATTTAATAAAGGGAATTGGACGGAAGCTTTAAATTGTTATACAAATGCATTGAAGCTTATGAATGAAAACAACTCTGAAAAAGCTATATATTACAAGAATCGTGCAGCTACATACTTAAAACAGAAAGAATATGAACCAGCTATTAAAGATTGCAACGAAGCTCTTGAAATATGCTCAAACGATCCTAAAGCATTATTTCGCAGATGCCAAGCATTGGAAGCATTAGAAAGATTTGAAGAAGCATATCGCGATGCAAGATATATTATTTCAATAGATCCTGGCAACAAGGCAATTCAGCCCATTGCTGCACGGTTACACGAAATTGTACAGGAAAGATACAAACAAAATTCTCGTGTTGGTGCCAAGGTTTGTACTATAGCATTAATTATATAACATGATAGGCTAATTAGTGAAATATACATTAATACAATTACTATTACCATGCATTACATATATATGACCTCACTGACTTTTGTAAGAAACCAATGTCACATGTGTAATAACAATGATTGAATTATAAACCAATCTCACATTTCGTGCGATTATTAAACATATATAATTGGCTTATCTAATACATTTTATTTATGCATAATTAAAAGTATACATTATATTAAATAAAATTACTACAACCATAATGTGGTTTCCATTGCAATGGTAGAAGCAAATGTATTAAATAAAAAGATGTATTGCAAGTTGCCTTGAAATTTATTATATTTAATATGGTAATAATTATAATTCAATGTGCGATGATATTTTTGCGAAGGTATCACAAATGATGGACATAGTTTTTGAAATGGAAAAAGATACTGAAAAGCGTAAAACAGCAATAAATAATTTGCTTGTTCTTGTTCGAGAAAGAGCAGGAGCAGAAGCAATGCTTAACGAAGGAATTATTCCTAAATTAATAAAAATTTTTAAACTTGAAAAAAATGAAGAAATAATAATAGTTGCAATTAGAATTATTGCTGAATTATGTAGAAATAATATTAATCGGACTGAAATTATTCTGAAAGATATTGGTTTGCCATGGTGTTTAGAAATGATTAACAGTAAACTCACAGAGAGAGTTAATGCTGCACAATATTGTTTACAGGTTTGTAAATTTAACTAATATGAGAAGTCAATAACATTATATTAAAATATGTATTTAAATTTGATATTATGTTACAGACCATACTTAATACTTATAGTGGAATGGATAATAAACCAGATACAAAACCAAATAAAGAATTATGTGACAAACATAACAAAGAAATCGATAGCATTTTATCTTGTTTATTGTACAGTGTAACGAGTAGGACAATTTCTGGAATAGCTAGAGATGCAATTATAGAACTTATTATGCGTAATATTCATTACACTGCTTTAAGTTGGGCGGAACGGTTGGTTGAACTTCGTGGCTTACAACGTTTAATGGAGGTAGCAAGCGAACTTGAAGAATATAAATATGAATCTTCAATGGATATTACACCGTCTACTAGAACTGTAACCAGTGTGTGTTTGGCAAGAATTTATGAAAACATGTATTACGATGCGGCAAAAGAAAAGTTCGGAAATGCTATTGATGAATACATTAAAGATAGATTACTTACACCGGATATAGAATCTAAGGTAACCAAAATACATCTTTTATAATATTTTGTGAAAAGTTTATTATGAGAAACATAAGTTTCTAATGTATTTATTTATGCTATGTTCCAAACAGGTTCGTGTTGTAGTTGCAATAACAACTTTATTGCTTGGTCCATTGGATGTTGGAAACACAATAATTGCTAAAGAAGGTATTTTGGAAATGATACTTGTTATGGCTGGCACAGATGATGTATTACAACAAAAGGTTGCTTGCGAATGTATTGTTGCTGCTGCATCCAAAAAAGACAAAGCTACTGCGATTATAAATCAAGGCGTAAATATATTGAAAAAATTATATCAATCTAAAGACGACTCTATCAGAGTACGTGCTCTGGTAGGATTGTGTAAATTAGGCAGTTCGGGCGGTTCAGATGCAACGATAAGGCCATTTGCTGATGGAGCAACAAAAAAACTGGCTGAAGCGTGTAGAAGATTTTTAATTAATCCTAAAAAACAAAAAGATATGAGAAAATGGGCAGTAGAAGGATTATCGTATCTCACGTTTGATGCCGAAGTTAAAGAAAAGTTAATTGAAGATGGTCAAGCAGTTCAAGCAATGATAGAACTTGCTAAAACTGGAGATCAGTCTGTAATCTACGGTGTTGTTACAACATTAGTAAATTTGTGTAATGCTTACGATAAACAAGAAATGATACCAGAGATGATAGAATTAGCTAAATTTGCTAAGCATCATATACCCGTAGAACATGAACTTGATGATCCAGATTTTGTGAGCAAGAGAGTAATATCTTTAGCTAAAGCTGGTGTTACAAGCGCATTGGTTAGTCTCTCTAAAACTGAAAGCCAAAACAGCAGAGAATTGATAGCACGTGTTTTCAATGCAATTTGTAGTCAACAAGAAGTAAGGGGAATTGTTGTTCAACAAGGTGGAGCAAAGGCTCTTTTACCATTGGCCTTAGATGGAACAGATAAAGGAAAGAAACAAGCATCGCAAGCACTTGCACGTTTAGGAATTACAATAAATCCAGAAGTTGCATTCCCTGGAGAAAGGATAATGGAAGTGATTCGACCATTTATAAATCTTCTAAATCCAGAATGTTCTGCGCTTGAAAACTTTGAAGCTTTAATGGCTTTATGTAATTTAGCTGGTATCAATGATAATATTAGAAAACGAATTTTAAAAGAAGGAGGTTTTCAAAAAGTCGAGGCTTATATGTTTGAAGACCATGATATGTTAAGACGTGCATCCACTGAAGTAGTAAATAATTTAATAATGTGCGAAGATACTGTAAAATATTACGAAGACGAAAATGATAGAGTTAAATATCTAGTAATTCTTTGTCAAGATGAGGATATAGATACATGCATGGCGGCTGCAGGAGCTTTAGCAATGTTGACTTCCGTTAGCAACAAATCTTGTATGAAAATATTTGATACAAAGGATTGGTTGGAATCATTGCGATTTTTACTTGCTAATCCAAATTCCGACTTACAACATAGAGGAGTCGTAGTTGTTTTAAATATGATCAAAAGCACAAAAGATGTCGCGGCTAGACTAATTGAAACCGATGTAATGGAAATTTTAATGGCTTTAACAAAGAGTGATACATTAGAAAATACAAAGATAAAGGAAATAGCAGCTAATGCATTAGAAGCAGCAGCAAAATGGAAACTTATTAAGAAGAATGCAAATGAAGAACAAACGTCGCAGAGTACGAATAATTTGGAAAATATCGAATAAATATGCAACACATACTTAACTTAATTATGAAAATCATAAATATAGTATGAAATATATTACGATGATTATACTTCTCTTAAAGTGCCTCAGATGTGTTCAATCTCATCTTTTATAGTAAATAGTACGACTATTAAAAAAGTTAATAAAAAAACAAATATTTAGTATTTTTTTTAAAAGTAGTTAACTCACAAAAGTATTGCATTTATTAACAATTTGATATTGTATACTATTGTTGCCAAATATAATAAAGTTACTTATTTACTGTTTAAAACCTTAAATTATTTATTTTATATAAACAATCATGTATTATATATTTGTATAAGTACCCGTGTGTATGTACCAATTGCATAATATACAATATTTTTCAATTTAATGAAATTAACATTGTAATATTAAATTTGTATACGTTTCGATATATATATATTTTTAATATCAATCTGACAAAAGTTATGAACAATTAAAATTACTAGAAAAATATGTTATGATTTAAAAAATGGATGATCTAAAGCTTGATCTGCAGTAAGACGTGTTTTGTAGTCTAGATCCAATAAGCTTAGTAAAAGATGATAAGCTTCTTTTGGAAATTGAACATCCAACGATGCCTTAAAATATGTAATAAATATTCTTCAATACACAATTATAATTACTATTACATAAAACGTTTTTAAATAATATTTAAATTTGTAATCATAATTATAAACAAATGATAAATTAAAATACCTTTTCATACATGCTATGATCTCTACAATTATTTAATAAACCCTTATTTCTTTTTTGTAACTTCTGACATAAAGATACAATGTCAACTCCTGGTATATCCTCATGAAAAATAATTTGTTTTCCTAATTTCGCAAAGAAAATGTTTGAAACATGAAAAATAAACAATATGAAAATGGTAAAAATAAAATATTTTTCAATATGAATCAAAATGAAAAAGAAACAATTTTAATACCTAATTTGTGTGCACAGTGTTGCATTTTATTTGATCCAAATATTGTAGTTATTTCTGCTAAAGCAGTGCAATCATCTGGAGAATGAAAAAATGGTTGAGTGCCACTAAGGATGCACAACATCATTACTCCAGCTGCCCAAATATCAATTGCTGGTGTTTGCAAAGGATGTTTTAATAAAACTTCAGGTGCACGAAATCCTGGTGTGCCAGCTCTTGGGGCTGTCTGTTCTGGTCTTGATGTACATAATGAACATACTTTTGGTTTTCCAAAACAGAAACATTTTTCTCCTGTAACTTTTTTTCTTGAACTAAGAGAAAGATTTAAACTATTCTGAAAAAACATGTAAATAAAAATAGTAATAAGACTCTCTGTAAAAATACTAACATTGTTTATTGTTTTAAGTAATAGATACTTCACTTCATCTGATCTTTTTCGCTTAAGCGACTGGGTTTCAAAATTAATTGACTTAAGTTTATTAGAATTATTTTTGACTACATATTCTTGTGCTAATCCAAAATCCACTAACAAGTATCTATAATACATAAGAAATCAATGTTTTAATTTAACATTAAAATAGATTTATATGAAAATAATTTATATGTGTTCACCTTTTATGGCATCGATCATATAAAAAATTACTAGGTTTAACATCCCTGTGTATAATATTAAATTGATGAACTCTACGCAATGCAGTCAACAATGCTATCATGTAATCCTTTGTTTCTTGAATGGTCATATTTTGTACATAGTCCTGTTTAAAAATCATTGATAACAAACGATAATGTCACAGTTTTCAATTAAAATTATATAAAATTAATTGAAATGTAGATGAAAGTGTACCGAAAATTTGTCGTGTCTCATATATGGCATTACAAATACCACTGTTTCAAAACTTCGTAAACACAATTCTAATCCAACCACATAGTCTTTTCCCCTGCAAAAAAATGTTGTTGACCATATTATTTAGTGCAAGTATAAATAGTTCTTATTCATACACTTTTATATACATCTTTTGTTAAATTGTAATCATGGTTTAATGTATCCATTACCCTATCTGTTGCATACACTGCAATTCATGTTCAATCTTTTCAGGATGACGAGTAGGAACTAAATGTTTTAACGCGAATTTCTTTGACCCATCGGAAGATTTTAATGTAGCTAAAAATACAGAACTAAAAGTTCCTTCCCCGACCTTTCCATGCACATGAAATAAATCCTTTAGTAATGGAATTCTGTTTTTAAGGGCGACAACATTATCTTTTTCTGAAAGTACCATGTATTAATTTATCTACATTAGAATTTAAACACTTTTCGTAAACAAAATTAAACAACAAATTGTTAACCATTTACGTTATCCTCTCCAATTTGAGTTTTTTCTTCCATAATTCCAATAAATAATACAAGGCACTAAATTGTATTATCACGATGCTTCCCAATTAGTTAATTTAACAAACTAGAAATTTTATTATTTAACATTAAAATTGAATAACTGTCACGTGCATGATAACCTGTCAACCGTCAGACGTTGGCGCCATTCTAAAGACTTAAAGCGTACATGATTCATAACGTTAAGATACGAAAAATATTTTCATAGATCGAAAAATATATAAGTATACAATGAAAAAAAATACAAATGTATTACGTTATGTCATAATACAATATCTAATCAACATTTTTTTTATTATAGACTTATTAATTGATTGAATAATACTAGACAGACTTAGCTAATTTTGTTACAACAATACTCGAATACTATACAAATCAAACTTATAAAATTCGAATAGCAATTATTAGATAACTATTCATTGTTTAGTTAAATATGTTACGAGCGGCGAACAAGATCCTGGATTTGGTCGGGGGTAGTGGTTAGACTCCGTTAGACCGATGGTATAGGTATGGTTAGGAAAAGTAGAGATGGTCCGAATGAACCGGCGTATGACTAACACCAGGAGCCGCAGGTGTTGATTACATGAACAAACCATGGTATGGTTATGGCTAACCCTAGAAACCACAGAGTGATACCGGTGAGCACGTGTGTTATTCTGTAGGACAACCTATCCTCTTTGACTTGCCACTCTTCCCAGTGTGACGGCTTGGTACCTCGTTGCTTCGACCGCTTGCCTCATATCTGGCGGTCTCCCCGCCTTCTGAAGCTCCCTGAATCGGTGGTAATCTTGCCGATTCCTCTAAGCTAGGAGCTTCAGAGGTGGAAGAAGCACCAGGGTACCCAAGGTACCCTCTAATCACCCTGACAGCCAACCGACGGTTGATGCGGCGCAGCATTTCCGTGTTGTGCCGGTTGATCATCAGGTTCACCTTAAAATTCACCCGTAAAGGATGATTGACAACACCACCTACACATAGAGGCGGCGGACCCCAACGTTAGGTTTCCCGATATTCGGGAGAAGGCGGCCTAGAGCCGGGACACAGACCGAGCTGTGGCCACGGGACCATCATCGGCCACTGGACTTACCAACGACCGCCAACCAAGTGGCCAACCCTCGGCAAACGTCCCACACCCCAGCCCATCCATGTACTCATTTACACAAACATTCATACCAGTGTTTGATCCGCGGGATCCGCGGATCCGACCTCCGGGATGCCATGTGAGGATGCGGCCACCAGCCCTTTCAAACTGATGACCCCATCCCCGCATCATATCCCAGCGGCTTCCCCTATCCGTCACCTGGGGACGCACCACGTAGGGGTTCACCTCCCCTGCCGCTTGGATAACCAAATGGGTGCGTGGACAACTAAACGACTCTTAGCTGAGATTTATCCTACCCACACATTTCCGGCCGCCGCAATCTTACTGGTGACCGTTAAGGAGCACCTCACCTCACAGAGACCTGGGGTCCGCCTTGGCCTCCTCCTCAGGCCTGGGGATTTCCAGGAAACTCCCACTAATTGCACCCTTCGTCGTGAATTTGATATTCGACCAAGTCTAGGACATTGCCTCGGTTAGGACTCTAGTAGATCCTTCTAAAGCATCGAGGACCACTGCCGCCGTTTTTGCCTTTGAAAAGTACCACGAAGACATGAGAAGTAAAAGCGAAAGAGGGAAGAGGTTAAAGAAAGAGGATGTAGAAAGGGAAAGCTGGTAAGAAAAATGTATAAGGAAAATATTGGTGTTATAGGGTCTAGAGGTATAGTCCTTCGCATCCGTATAAAGCTAACCTGGAATTTTTAGCTCAATGATTAAAATAACTATCGTTCCTAGTAATCATTTACATCTTACTAATTACATGAAATAATGTATAGAGAAATGGTTGAAGAACTTAGCTTGATTCGAATAATATTTGAAATAATTATAAAGGATTATAAAACTTTAGAATTTATAAAAATTAAGAAATTAATGGAAAAGGTAGAGGAGAATGTTGTAAATAAAAAGCATGGGAAATAGGTACTATAATTTAAATTTTTTATTAATATAAACGTAAGGAGTGTTTTACACTCTTATTCAATAGTCAAAATATTATCATGGGGTCCCTCTATTTACGCACACTAATGCACAGCCATGTATACGTGAGTTGCCCTCTGGTGACAGATACAGAATACAGGAGTTGTCCACATACCGATGTTATTAAAATTAACCACGTGGTGAGAATTTCTGCATTCTGTACTACAAATGTATAATTTTTGTAATATTTATGAATAAATATTCAAGTTATTAACAAAATGAAAAAGAGACTGATAGATGAAGCCACCACTGGTGGTAATCCAAAATGGTATACAGAATTTCCTAAAGGAGAAGAGCCATGTAAACATTCTAAGTCTGAAACAGAAATATCAAACTTGAAAGCTGAAGCTAAAAGATATTTAGATGCAGAAACTGCTGTGTTTCAATTAAAGGAATCAAAGTCCCGTGATTCAGAAACAGTATGGTTAAAAACAGCATTAACACAAGGTACAACCTCGGATAAAGTAGCAGCTGCCATTGTATTAGTACAAGACAATCCAAAATATAATTTAGCTAGAATTACAATGCTTGTAAATCAAGTACGAATAGCAAAACACAATCAATGCAATATGATAATAAAATCTTTGAAGGATTTGTTTTTATGTGATTTACTTCATCCTACATTTAAGCAACTTAAATTTGAAGAACAAAATTTAAATGAAATTGATAAAGCAAATCCTGATGACACAATGGTCCAAATAGATGCATCAAGAAAAAAGTTAATGGCCCATTGGTACTTTGAGGACCAGTTACGTGAACAATATGAACGTTTTGTTATGTCTCTAGCTGCTATTGCATCAGATACAGTGGATTCAAATCGTGAAACAGCATTGTCGGTTATGACAAACCTGTTAATAGGAAATTCTGAACAAGAACATAAACTATTGGAATTAATTGTAAATAAAATAGGAGATCCAAGCAGTAAAGTAGGATCTAAAGTTATATTTTGTTTAAATAAAGTGTTACATGAGCATCCAAACATGAAAATTGTTGTATTGCGAGAAGTTGAAAAATTATTATTTAGAAAAAATGTTGCACAACGTGCTCAGTATTATGCAATCTGTTTATTAACTCAATTTCTTTTGAGCAAAGATGATGAAGGAATTGCTTCTAATCTTATTGAAGTTTACTTTGCATTTTTTAAAGCTTGTTTAAAGAAAGGAGAACCAGATAGTAGAATGATGGCAGCAATTTTAACTGGTGTGAATAGAGCATATCCATTTGCAAAATTGAATTCAAGCATATTGTACAATCATATAGATTCTGTATACAAAGTTGTACATGTTGGATCTTTTAATGTTTCACTAAATGCCCTGAACTTATTATATCAAGTAAGTACCTATACATTGTAGTATGTTTGTTACATTTATTAAGTTTCATTTTTATGTTATTGATATAGATCGCAGGAAAAGATGAAATACAGTCAGACAGATTTTATTCTACTTTTTATCGAAAGTTATTAGACCCACAAATTGGAACAGCAAATAAACAGGCACTATTTCTTAATTTATTATTCAGAGTTCTTCAAAAAGATAATAAAATACAACGTTTATATGCATTTATTAGAAGAATCTTACAAATTACATTATATCTTCCTGCAAATATGGCATGTGGAATTTTATATGTAGTATCAAAAATTTTACATACACATAAAGAATTAAAAAGCTTATTATTAAAACCTCAAGATTGTATTGAAATTGGAAATGAAGATTCTGAAACTGAACACAATTCTATAAATTTAAAAAGTAATGATGTATGTGGAAAATCTAATACATATTCAGAAGATACTATTGTATTAACAAATGTTACAACTGGAGATGTAAATATAGAAGACAAACCTGAAATAAAAGTAGAAAATGACGTAAAAATTGAGTTGTGTAAACAAAAAGAATATGATCCTTTTTATCGTAATCCCCTCTATGCTGGAATAACTAAGGGATTAAATAATGAATTGATCACACTGTTTAAACATTATCATCCAAGTGTTGTATTATTTGCAAATACTATACTTGAAGGTACTATATTTAATTATATTATTTTTACTAGGGATGGGACATTCGAAACCTTGAAACTCGAAATTCTCGAAATTATACCTTGCATCCATTTCCATAACTTTCTGAAAAGAATTTATTACAGAATTTGTTAGTTCATGACAAAATAAATACTACCTTAAATAAAAAAATTAAGCATTTTGGGTTTCGAGAATTTGAAAACCTCACAAAGTTTCATAAAGATAAAAATCAGGTTTCGACCCATGTCTAATTTTTACAAAAATTAATATTAAGTGTTTTTTTTTTCTAAGCATATCAAATGTGTGATTTCCATGTGTAGGAAAACCAATTAATTATACTGGAGATCCATTAGAAGATCTGTCTTTGATGCGTTTTCTCGATCGTTATGTTTTTAAAAATCCAAAAAAGTTAGAAAATAAAAAAATACAAAAAAAGAATGATCCCCTGGCTCGACGCGCAGGATATGAACCTATAGGTATCAGATGTATTCCAGTGGATAGTGTTTCATATCTTAATGAAAAGGAAGAACGTATTCCGGTTGACGAATTGTTCTTATATCGGTATTTAAACAAGAAGAAAGAAATTAAAAATGGATCTAAAGTGATAGATGACGATATAGAAAGTGTTAATAGCGAAGAATTTGACGACATGTTGGATAGATTAACAGATGGCAAAGATTTTGAAGATCTAGACATTGCAGCTGACATCCAAACTAAGAAAACAAAGAAAAAGGGTACATTAACACAATTTTAACTTTTTTTTTTAAAGTAAAAATTGTTTTTAACATACGTGTGATTATATTTTTTATAGATGTTGAGGATGAAGATGATTTAGAAGTTGGCAGTATCAAAAGCGCGGCAAGCGATAATTCTGATAATATAAATGATTTAGATGAAAATGATGACGCAGATGAAGAATTACAAAATTTGAGCGATATGGAACTGGACGAGGACGACTATTTAAGTGACATAGATTTTAACGAAGACTCGGATGACAACGAAGATATGTTTGATAATACTAACAATAGAACAAAGAAAAGAGATCAAGGAAAGCATAAATCGAATAAAAAATCAAAAGGAATTGATAGTAACACATTTGTATTAGCAGAAAAATTTGCAGAAATGCTTGAAGAACATAGTAAACAAAAAAATAAACATGGTGGTACAGATATGTATAATACTGCAGATGGTGCAAGTTCAAAGCAAATAGATTGGGAAATAAAACGACATCATAAACTTAGGGGATCATCAAATAACAATAAACGAAGAGGTCCTAAAACTTCTAAAAATGTTAAAAAGATGAAACACTAATTATGAAATATATATGTAGATATATAAGCAGTTGAGATATTTTTATAAATTATAAACGAAATGTCATTTTACTTGTAATCTTGTACAAAAAAATAAATCGTACATTTAATTATTACTTATATACTAGAATATGTTTTTATTATAGTATAATTACGCAAAGAAAATGAAATGAATGCATAAATTTATTATCATAGAATAATGCATGAAAAAAAAAAAAAAAGAACCTTGGTTACTGTTGATCTTAACAGCCCTTATTTAGCAAGTAAATATTCATTTATTTAAAAAATGTGGGAACACAGTTTATCGTAATGTAACTGTCTACTTTCCTTGTCATAATACCAATTTTATCTTACGTAAAAGCAAATATGCTCAGTTACACATATGTACTACAAGAAGATTCAAAACTTTAAAATTACTGATAGATCATTTTCACTCATTTTTCTGTACGTACTGTACATTGTCGTGTTTTTTTAAAATGAAGTAATTAAGTTCGCAATTTCTTTGGCAACTGAAACATTTCAAAATACAAAATATTTAAATGAAAATAAAAGCTCGATATACTTGAATTTTATACTAAAAACATATTGGGAACCTTATCAGTATTTAGTTACTAAGTTTTATTGTTTGTTTTCTAAATTAAAGAACAGTAATTCATTATACCAGTTGCGAAAGAAGTTGTTAGTGCATGCTATTATGAAAGTAGATTATAAGTGTAATTATTTCTTACTAATAATGACATAGGTATGCAAGAGACTTAGCTATTTGTTCAAGTATAGTCTGCCACTGTTTGTAAAAAAGAACAAAAACATTTATCTCCATATTACTGTTAATGTGCAACAAATAAATTTGTAAAATCTCATTTTGTACACGCAATTTTTTTTTATATGCGGCAAATTCTAAAGCGTGCTGTGTATGTGTATCGGTAGGCTGAACGCTACTCTGGATCAGCTTTTGTTGAACTTTCTTCATCATGAGTAGGGCTATGCCATGTTAATCGCTCTTCATAGAACTTTATCACGATCTGTGGACACTTTTCATTAGCAATTCGAGCAGGGACTAAATCTGCGTCATCCGTTCCCTTCCATTTCATCAAAAACATAAGTTCCCCGCTTGAATCCGTTGCACCAATAATTCTTTCAGGCTCTAAATTTCTGTCAAAGCCTGAATAAAACCAAAATAATTAGTTAAAAATAAACGAACTAATAATTACAAGGTAGTATGTTTATCATACATATTGTACGATAAAAGTAAAAAGTCGTGATAGAACGTTACCTTCAGGTTTTTTTTCTTCGGCTGCTTTCTTTTTAGCTTGTGTCGGTGTAGGGGTACTTGTACTCTTTCGCTTTTTCTGGTCTTTATCTTCATGCCGCTTTCCAGCTACTGTAGCTTCTTTCTTTTTACGTTGTTCTTCAAATTGTGCAATTAAATCAGGACAATCCAAGTTTTCTTCTGGTTCCCATGTATTTTCATCATTAGAATACCCTTTCCATTTCAAAAAGTATTCCACCTAAATGTGAAATTGTAATAAATATAGTAAAAATGAAAAGATTTATGGTTCAAACAATAACAGTGAATTTAAATTTAAGTACCTTGCCTTTAACCACTCTTCGATCTAAAACTTTTTCGACACTGAATTCTTCCTCTCCTTCGGCATCTGCGGGAGTTGATTCTTTGCCTTTGCTCATTTTCTTTTAAATAATACTAAAAATATAAGTATAACAAAAAATTGATTATTGATTACAATGACTAATTATGTTCAAATAATAAATTCTCATAAGAAAAGGCTTACGTATAAATATTATTACGACACGGTATAACGATACATACAATAATTCTATGCGAATGAAATTATGAAAATGTAACGACAAACGAAACGAACACGATGCAAAATGGCGGTACGCCAGCCGGGTATTATCCAGATATTATTCGTTGAATTTACAATCAAATTCGATAAGAAATGATATCAATTTATACTGCTTTCTATTACGATTTCTTTTGCCTATGGTTGACTATAAACAATTAATAATTATAATACTTACTTCAAAGATATCTCGAAAATGTTCTGTGTATTCACATTCCACAATGAACGGTGGCGGTTTTCCAAATGCTTTAGCGTCTTGTTACCGTTATCGCGTTGCCGCGAAAAATACCAGGTTGACCAATACAAAAACATAAAACTTCTAATACTGACATTTCCGTATAGAACACTAATATTATTTTATGTGCAAAAGACTTTATAATAATTGTAAGAATTTAAAAAAAAGATAATAAATATTTGTCATATTAATGGTTCTATTCTAGAAGCTAAATTTGTTCTTCTTGCGATATGTGAGCAACCATTTTAAAGTGTATACCTTAAACTTTTTGTAAAAATACTTCGTACATACATTTAAGAATTGCTTATAGATTAATATATAAAATGTTAAGTTTAAAGAATATTTTAAATCATTTTCTTAAAAATGCAATAGAGTTTTTTCAGGAAGTGACTGTTCTTGACCACTATTTTTTCTAACAAAGACTTGAGCTATATTTTACATACAACATTATAGAATATTTATCTATATTTGTTTCTTAAAACAGCTGCTAATATTTTAATGAAAAATATAATACAAATATTATATAGGATAAAAAACATTTAACAATAATAGATTATTGAAACTATAAAAGAGATATTTCCAGATGGCGCTATAATTTAAAATTGTAACGTTGATTTTCAGCTCTACAGTAATTGCAGTTTAAACGGCGCTGAAAATTTGGAGTTGGCAAGGACTTTCAAGGTATTGTTAAAATAGAATTTGTAAAGTAGTAGTATGTATTTAAAAATCGATCAATTGATTAATATTATTAAATAATTTAATATTCAAATTTAATTATATTTTATATCTAATTTATAGAATAATATTCATAATGGCTGCTCGATCCGTCGTTAAATATTTACGTCCGAAAAATGTTGTGCCTCAAATTCACCGATGTGCTTCATTATCTGCATTCGAAATACAACATAAAACTCCAACTATTAAGAAAGTGATGCCTATACCAAAAGCACATTACGGTGGTCGACACACTGTTACACTTTTACCTGGTGCTGGTATTGGACCAGAATTAATGACCTACGTAAAAGAGGTACAAACATAGTATTAATATTTTCGATTCAAATAATGACCTTCCCTTATTGTGTTGCTAGAATACATCTCCTTTATAATGTTATATTAAGCATTATTATTGAATTCAAGTAATATTTTTTTATTAAAGGAAAAGAATAATATCATATTTTATATAAATGTCTTACATAAGTTTTTCGTGTGCTTATTACAGGTTTTCAGATTTGCAGGTGTGCCAGTAGATTTTGAAGATGTAGAAATTGATCCTAATGCAGATGATAATGTTGATTTGGACTATGCTATTACATCGATTCGTAGAAATGGTGTTGCATTAAAAGGAAATATTGAAACACGCAGTACAGAAGCTAGTGTAATTTCTAGAAATGTTGCTCTTCGAAATGAGTTGGATCTTTATGTAAATGTTTTACATTGTGTGTCATATCCAGGAGTAAATTCGCGCCATAAGAATATTGATATTGTTATTATCAGACAAAATACTGAGGGGGAATATGCCATGCTCGAGCATGAAAGTGTGAAAGGTGTTGTAGAAAGCATGAAAGTTATTACAAGCACCAATTCTGAACGTCTTGCAAGATACGCATTTGAATATGCTAAACGACATGGAAGAAAGAAGGTTACCACAGTTCATAAAGCAAATATAATGAAACTCTCTGATGGATTATTTTTAGAAACATCGAAAAATGTTGCAAAAGAATATCCAGATATTACCCACAATAACATGATTATCGATAATACATGTATGCAACTTGTTGCCAACCCACATCAGTTTGATATTATATTAACAACCAATCTATATGGTTCAATTGTATCGAATGTAGTCTGCGGTTTATTAGGCGGTGCTGGATTATTATCTGGAAAAAATTTTGGTGACCATTATACAATATTTGAACCAGGTACTCGTAACACAGGTACAGCCATTGCTGGAAAAAATATTGCTAATCCTATTGCAATGTTAAATGCAGCTGTTGATATGTTACGTCACCTTGGACATAAGGAACATGCTGTTTTAATTCAGAATGCAATCAATAAAACTATTAACCAAGGTATTCATACTCGTGATCTTGGTGGCCAAGCTACGAGCAGAGAAGTTGTCGATACAATTTTGAAACACATTAAACTTGCATCTAATTAAGACTGACAAAAAATATTTTGTTAGGTTAATATCTGTAGAGACATACTGCTGAATTTTGCTCTTTAGCAAGGATATTCCGTTGTTTGTTGGTAAAATGTATTATTTTATTGCTGTGATCGACTACAGTCATTATATTTTTTAATTTATTGAAATTCTATAAAATTACGTAAATTGCACAAAACTCTGCAAAATAATTTGTAAGTAAAGCGACAAATGCAACTCGTGTAACATATTAATATTTTATGTAATATGACGTATAATGAATTATTAAGATCAAAACTTTGTAAAATGTACATTGTAAGTATTAGTATTATATACAGTTGTTCAAATATTGTAATTATCCTTATAGGATCTATTTCAGATGTAAACCATTTTTTTTTGTTTACATCTTATTAAACGGTATTATCTTGTAATTGAATATATGTTTATATACATTTATTAGTTTTGACTTAATAACGATCCATCAAATTCATAATTTAATTTGCGTTAAAAAATTTTCAACGTGTCTAATCTGTATTTTGTTGATAAATTCTTTAATTATATTAAATAGAATACCAATTTATTTGTTTACATGAACAACTATGTGGATAATAATTAATAATATTGTACCATGACACATAAAAAGAGATTAATGATTTATTCAACAAACAAGCAAAATATATCTTGATTCAATTTTGTAATAGTTGTAATGCTAATTCCTCGTCCGCTTGTAAATGTTTGTTGTCAACTTTGACCAACGTTTTTTGTTTTTTCTTTATTTTGTTGTATTCTTTTTGTGTTAAGAGTTTTTTCGTAGGAGGTCTGTAATAATAAGGTTATGATTACCAAAGATTAAAAGTAATATTAAGAATAAAACAGGTATATTTTCCTAGATACAATGTGTTTAGTACTAATTATTGCAGCACATACCTATGTATTTTGCTTTCCTCTTCATCTTCCTCCGATTCGGTAATGTCCGAAATTTCTTTGTCGCTTTCCTGTTGCTTACCATAGATTTTGTCTGGATCTGGTAACCACGATAAATCTGGTTCACTATATTCACTGTCACTGGCATTATTGTCAGCACTATCTTCCATATCTTCTTGACCCTTAGTTTTATCTTCGTCTAATTTTCTCTTGGTAGCTTTTAGTTTTCGTTTTTCTTCTTTATGTCTTTCTTTTATTTTCTGTCTGAAACGTTGCTTGTCAAACTTGTCTTCTTCGCGTAATATCTGTTTGGCTATTTCTATATTGATACCAGAATCTATTTCATTTTCATATTGTCTAGCAAATTCAGAGATTTTAACTTTAGTAGGATCTAGTAGTTCCTAAAAAGTAAAATATTCCAATACCAGAATATACACAAATATATCATATGTAAATTTTATATCAAGACAACAAACCTTTCCTTCATCATCAAAGGCAATTTTCTTATTTGGTACTATTTTCTTCTTAAGCACTTTCTTAGCTACTGCAGCTTTCGTAATAGCTTTCTTTTTACTTGTACCTAAATTCTTATCGTCAGCGGTAACGATTGGTAATACTTCATCAATATCTATGTTTTTTCTTTTCACAGTTAATATTTCGTCGTCGTCACTATCGTTTGCTTAAGAAAAAAAAATAGAACATAATTCTATAAATTAAGATATTAATTCTATACACATAAATATTAATTGTCTTACCAAATGCAAAATTGTTTGTTTCTGTTCTTTGATATGTATTCGTTTTTACATTTTCCATGGAATCATTGTCATCAGACATATCGGAAGTTTTTTCTTGATTTATATCATTCTCCAATTCATTATGCGTAATGATTTGTTCTTCGTTTCCAACATTTTTGGTAGATGATCGTTGTTTTTGTTCTATTCGTTGAAGAAATCGAATTCTTGGTGGTATGGCTAAACCTAAAGATCTAATAATGCAACAATTGCAAGACAATGAAGTAATGTTTCCATATACAGTTTTAATTGTAATTACATGTATCTGCTTATTTTACCTCGCATACGAATCAGTATTTAATGCATGAACGTTAAAAACTTCCTTATCCTTCATTAGAAAAACTGATTTCACATATGTTACAATTGCTCTTTGAGCACTTTCTTTTAGGGATACATCCCGTGCTAATAAAGCTTCCATTTTACGTTGTTGAGATTGTAATTTGTTCGGATTAATTCTAGATATAGATATATATATATATATATTTTCATAAATTTTTAGAATACCTATATTAAATAATACAAAAGTGTTCAAGTTACTTTATCATAGATATTGGAATTTTGCGTTCTTTTAGCTTCTCGATCATTTTTTCCTCTGAAGGTAATAAAACTAATAGAGATTCACCACCTCTTTGAAATCTAGCAGTCCTACCGGCTCGATGTATATACGCATTTACATCTTCAGGACAATCCATCTGTACAACCCAATTCACAGCAGGAAAATCTAAATTGCATTTTAATTGTAAATAATAGTTATGGTATCAATTTTCTTAATATTCATATAAAGAAATAGTTTTCTTCTCTACCTAGTCCACGAGCAGCAATATCAGTAGCAAATAAAACTGCAAATTGTTTTTTACAGAAAGTTTCATAAATTTCCATTCTTCTGAGTTGATGCAATGTACCATAAAGAGCTAGTAAGCTTATGCCAGGTCTCAATCGACAAAACATTTCATATACATATTTTACCTGGCAATAATTGATATTACCATTATTTCCATTCGCGTATTATAATCAATTATATTAATAAACTACCATACCTGTTTACAACTAGAGAAAAATACAATGATCTTTTGTTTCAAGTGATTTCGAATAAAAGACCATATCATTGACATTTTGTCTTCCAAAGCACAAATAACGTAACTTTGTTGAAGACCTTCGGGTGTAGTATGCGTAGAATGTTCGTGAACAGACACGTACATGGGGTCTTTTAAACTTAATCTGGCTAAATCTCTAACCGACCTAATGAAAATTGAGACACTAAGTAACATATGACACAAAGAAAATAAAATTTCGATCGTTCTTAATCCATAAACAACGCATCAAATTTTAATTTTGTCGTTTGGAAAATATTACTTTGCAACATACCATTCTAATCCAAACAAAATAGAAAATAGTCAAACCTAATTTAATACTTCAGAAATTATTAAATTCCCGAAGTTAAAATTTTGTATTAAGTATTCATTTCCGCTGCTATCTAACCATTCTAAATTTCATGTAGATCGGCCGCGGGTGCCATTCAAAAGAACATTATTTATTTATTAAACGAATAATTAAAAACATAACTTTGTCCACAAGTTGACATACAATATACTAAATACATAAAGCACAGCATCTTTAATTGATCTCAGATTTAAATTATATAATTTCAGTCGATTTTAATGAGTTATTTATGAAATAATGAAACTGGTGTTGGTGTTTCTGATAGAGCTCACACGGCTATCTAAGAGTTAAAAATATATACTTTGTTTGAGTTGCAGAAAATAGAAGACTCTGTCTTTTTGGTGGTAAATTATCTATAATAGAGTTCATAGTATGTTCAAAACCCATATCTAAACATCGATCTGCTTCATCCAATACCAATACCTAAAATTTTAAAAACGAAATAAATACAGAACTAGTAGTTATCTTTTTGTTAATATTAACAGTTTTTTACTTTGGCTATTTATATACCTGCATATTCACACAATCAAACAATGGATTTTCATCCATATGTTGTAATAAACGGCCCGGAGTACATATAACAATGTTACATTGATCCATACGTTTCTTTTCAAACTTTAAATCTTTCCCACCAATAATAAGACCAGCAGAAATATCATGATACTGACCAATTTTACGTAACGTTTCATATATTTGATAAGCGAGTTCTCTGGTCGGTGTGATGATGAGCGCACCAAGTCCATCTAATCTTGTCCATCGTTTACAGTATAAAATTTCCAATACCTTAATAATTATAGAATTACATTTTAGTTACAAATCATTCTTCTAAGGCGGCGTTAACTAACTTTAATCTTGTTCATTACCGGAATAAGGAATGCTAAGGTTTTTCCGCTGCCCGTTTTGGCCGCTCCTAAAATATCATTTCCACGGAATGCCAGGCCGATACTTTGCCTCTGAATGTCTGTCATATTAAAATAATTATTTTCTGCCAAGCCTTTTAAAGTTTTTGGCGACAGCGGTAGATCTGTAAATTTGTCCGCTTTCGTTTCATCGATCTGCAAAGATGTAACCTCGTGAAGATTCTTAACATCTACGAAGCCAATCATAACTTACAGCGTGGTACTTTGATTGTAGCTTCTCGATTATTTTTGACTCGGAATCTTGCTTTTTCTTTGTATTATAAACTTTAACTACTTTTTTTTTCTTAGGCATCGTTTATTATTTTCACGTCAAACGCTTTGTACAGACGTATAAACGAAACACTTACTAGGTTATGTTGACAACCGATTCCCCATTAGACCACATGTGTCATACAGTGGCGACACACATTTAATTTTGTATACTTCGAGGACATTTAAATCGTAGGTAATATAGTTCAACAAGTTATTTCCATATTTTCATAATTAATGAATTATGAAAAAAAAAGTTATTTCGATATTTTCATAATTAATGAATTATGAAAAAAAAGTTATTTCATAATTAATGAATAATGAACAGAAAGTTATTTCCATATTTTCATAATTAATGAATTATGAACAGAAAGTTATTTCGATATTTTCATAATTAATGAATTAAGCCTGCGTGTTAATGAAAATAACAAAGGCTGAGGAAAAGTGGTGACTAATCTCATCTAAAATTAATTACTACGCGAATAATCGTAACGGTATAGTGAACCATTTTTTCATTGATACAATAAACCAAGTCAGAGGATAATAATAATCTAAATAATAACTTTTAATAATTCTTTTCCGGATTTAAAAAAGATCGAAATCATAATCATTGAAGCGTGTAGAATCAATGGGTCACGAGATGTTGGAGTTTTCATTAACTAGTATACTGGGTTCGGTCAGTGACCACTATGATCGCCGCTAGGGGATGTACCGGAAGCGAATGAATTAATTTGCCAATAGTACGCGAAAAGAAATAATTATTATACAATTCGAAGCATCGTGTTAAATATCTTTGAAAGTAACATTTGTGACAACCTACGTCGAAAAGTAATTAACCAAAATTAATTTATCAACGACACGTGAAAATAATATTTCCAATGCGGATGGAGAAACAGGAAACTCTTCAAATTTCTACGTTTCTTTTCTGTAACTATCGCAACTATTAATATTACAATGTGGATGATAAAACTTATCTCACGTTCACAGAAGAAAAGTGCTTTACAAGGCACATCGGCTCGGGAAGTAACTAATTAAAACCTTCATAGCTAAACGATGCTCGCATTCGCTCGCGGAACAATTTAAAATAATAAGCCCGAATCTATCAGGCTGATTTTCATTTCATTTCTTCCACGTACTACTCGCCCCGAGTGGTTCTTTTAAGGGGTACAAAAGAAAATAAAAGAAATTTCTTTTGGCATCTTTTGAAAGTTCAATCGTTCAAGAACGTGTTTCGTATCGACTTCATATTTGAAAATAGATTTTCAGGTATACCGTACGTTTATTTGTCGTTGATAAATGGCAAAGATGATCTTACTTTTCGACCCCTGTACTCTGGTTGCCCATTTTAAAATGTTTTCCTCGATTCGCGTTATGTAAAATGACGCAACTGTCCGGACGAATGGAACGGAATGAAAATGCACTGGCGACTGGCACTCACACAGCTCCCCGTTCCAACGAAAATGTATCTGTCTCGATGACAAAAAGATCCTCTCCCCCCTCTGCTCGTCGGTGTCTCAACACCACGTGTTATTCGAATCAGTGTCAATAGAAGGGACGCGGAATTGTCGTTAAAAGACACATGCGTGGAACGCGTGCAATACGGTGCATCGGCGTTTACAAGAAATAATGGCAGCAGAGGAGGAGGAGGGACGGGGAGGGGGGAGGGGGGGCATAGAATTAGAAACGAACCGAAGGAGAAGAAGAGGAAACGCGTGGGGAGGGTAGCTTGCATCGAGATGACTATTGCATTCAGATAAGTTTCGCACAGCGTTCCGAGAGTCTTCACGATTCACGCTAGATACGTCGGATTTACGCGAGTTCGCTGACACCACTGTCGCGCCCTTATCGCTGTGGATAATTATTCGGGGTAATTAGCTGTGAAAAAGACCATGATTTGATCGAGGAAAGGGGGTAGCATGCGACGGGACCACGCGAAGCAGCTATGGAGAACACTGCGACCTCGCACCATCGTTTCATCGATACTCTGCTTCCTCTTAGGATCGGGGTTGCATTCGGTGGCGGCGGATATCACGTTACAAGACATGGGCAAGTACCAATCCATCATTGCTATTCTTGTAATTTGCGTTAATTGTATTTTGGAAATTACGCGTTTACTTTAGGTCTCCGATCGATGAAAGAATCATCATTGATCGAAACAAATCGTTGCACCTGTTTCACGTAGTAACGCAGAAATTATTGCACTGGCAATCGCGTAATAGATGTCCGTTTATCAGTGGACGTCTTTTTAAGTGATCTCTATTGCGTTAATTGAGACGCCGCTTGTAGCATGCAAAACTATGCGTTCCACTCTAGAAAAGAGGACTTCTTAATGGAACTGGTTTAAGTGTTCGTCGTAACGCGACAAGTTACGTCTCTCGAGTTCAGGGGTTATTAGGTTTCCAGTTGTTCATCGTCTTGTCGCCGTGTGATCTGCGTTTATTTCATTACGCGTTTCGCTCTATCTTCTATGAAAATCGAAGAGCGTTACCTTTCACTATCCGAAACAAATCTCGATTGCAAATTTTCTGTTTTTCACGATTTCAGAAAGAGACATCGTAGACTTGGTGTCCGGGACCGGAATGAAACAGGAACCATTCGGAGTGACGACGACCCAAAGTCGTTGCCACGGGAACGAAACCGTCGCGTACGAGATTTCGGAAAACGCAATTTTGACGATCAGTACGAGCACTCTGTTCCCCGCTGGCATTGCTCGCGATTTCTCCATTTTGGTCGTGGCCAGGCCTAAACTCGGTCAGTAGTCGCCTCGATCAATTTAATTTGCTAGTATGTTTCCTCAACTATATGCGAATTCGACAATTCCTCCCCTAGAAATTATATATAAATGTAAAAATATTGAAATTGTTCGAAATATTGTCTTCTACTTTAACTGTAGATAAACGTCATCAATAGACTGCGGATATTTATGCATTTTGCATTTAATATGCAAAAATATAACAAAAACTCAAGTAAGATAAGAATTATTGTATTTAGGGGTTGAAAGAACCCTCTACGAAGCTCTTATTTTATTAATTTTATTAATAAATATATGAATTTGCATAAAAATCCGCAGTCTAGTCATCAACAATCGAACTTTTCAAAATAAAAATATTTCTGACAAGGGGACCTTACAGTCGTGGAAATTGCTTTTGAAAAGATAGCAGGTGCAAGTTATAGTATACACCTAGTATCGAAAAGCCATAGTAAATTTCTTTATAATGGGTCTTCGTTTTCGAAATATTTTTATTTAAAGTTTCGTACATACAAATTAAAAGAATTACTTTTTACTTTACAAAATGAGAGTTAAGTCGGTAGAGCGATTAGTTACGAAGCATTTGTTAATGGGTTCGAATCCCGGCCAAGTTACTTTTTTTCTTTTATTATTTTGAAACGCAAAAATATATTTTATTCATTATATACAGGGTGTTCGGCCATTACTGGGAAAAATTTTAATGGGAGATTCTAGAGGCCAAAATAAGACGAAAATCAAGAATACTAATTTGTTAATGGAGGCTTCGTTAAAAAGTTATTAACAATTAAATTCAAAAATTTCAAATCGTTGTGGTAAAATTATTTTCGGTTGCGGGGGTCATTTTTGGTCATTACACATACCCCCGAAATCCTACGCACTTTCGAGAAAAAAATTCATTATTGAAAATATGATGTCTGACCATAACTGTCTGCTACTCCGAAAATTGAACAATTTCAAATCGTTCTAAAAATATTATTTTTATCTAGGGGGGTCAATTACAATCATTTTTGGTGAATAGACATACCTCCGAATTCCTACGCATTTTCGAGAAAAAAATTCATTACTGAAAATATAATGTCTGACCATAACTGTCTGTTACCCTGAAAATTGAAAAGTTTCAAATCATTCTATAAAAATTATTTTCGGTTGCAGGGGTCAATCACAATCGTTTGTGGTCAATACACATACCCACGAAATCCTACGCATTTTCGAGAAAAAAATTCATTACCGAAAATATAATTTCTAGCCAGAATTGTTAGTCCAAAATTTCATGCGAATCTTTAAAACGTCATAACTCCTGAACGGATTGGACGATTTTAATGTTTAAAAATGCAAACGACGCGTATTTTAACCAAGAATATGTAGAAATATCCAAAAATATTCGAAAAGTTGTTCCTTCACCCCGTAAAGTGAGAAAAACTCCATAAAAATGGTCCAATTTTCAAACGGCCATAACTCCTACAATAGTGAATGTATTTCAATGAATTTTTTTTCTGAAGTAGAGCTCATGTGTACCTATAAAAAAGTATTAGACAAAATTTCTGTACAGCGTTAAACAAATTTATGAAAAATGAAAAACGAATTTTTAAGAAAAATCGACAGGGGGTACTAAATTTTACGGCGAAAAAAAAATTTTTAAATTGTTATGGGAAAATTAATTTCAGTTGTGGGGGTAAATTACAATCATTTTTGGAGAATACACATACCTCCGAAATCCTTCACACTTTCAAGAAAATATTTCAGGTGGACAAATTTGTCGATAAAATTAAAAAATTTCAATTTAGTTCAATTTATTTCAAATAACTCAATAATTATTTGTTGTACGAAAAAATGTTCAGATAAAAGTTGCATACTTTTTAGAGCGACTCCATTTGAAATACTCCATTAAAAAAACTGAAAGTGATCTTCATATCTTGATAAAAAAGCAAAATACCATAAAACCGATATCAGTAGGTATTATATGTTCCCCTAACAATCATGCAATTTTTATCTGAAACATTTTTTCGTACAACAAATAAAGAAGTCGTCATGTTACGAGACTCTATGTATACCAATATAGTCACAAGTCTATCAATATATACAAAAGACGTATGTATTATATTCCCAATTATTATCGAAGAACTGCAAATTAGGTAAATTAAAAATAGCTTAGAAAACTACTTATGATTAGCTGCAGTCAAAGAGTAAAGATATCGATTACCGATACATTTATCCTAAGCAACCTCTCGATAGCGTGTCCCTGATTGAATAACTCGTATTACGATGAAAAAATTAGGGTACCCGGCCGCCTCGCTGTTTGCTATCTACAGCGACAGCGGCGAGGAACAGTTGGTGCTATCATTGGGCAATGACGTCACCCTTTACTACAGCACAAACCCGGACGACGAGGATAAACCCATTTCGTTTGGAATTGATATATCCGACGGAAAGTGGCATCGTTTAGGATTCAGCGTCAAAGGCGACGCCGTCACGCTAATCGTCGACTGCACCAAGCAAGTCACGAAAGAGTTGCGTAGGAACGTCGAGGAAACGATCAGCGACAGCGGCATTATAATCATCGGTCAACAGATCGTCGAAGGAAACGTGTATTTGGTCGGTAAACAATTGTTTGAACATACGAGGGAACCGATAGCGAGCAAGATTCGACTGCTTTGCTGAAATTCTTTTTACAGGGCGACTTGGAGACGTTGAAGATCGCTCCGATTCCGGACGCTGCTTACGAGATTTGCACGGTTTTCGCGCCAGATTGTAGGAACCAAACGAGACGCACGTTCGGTCGTGGTGGTTATACAAACATGTGGAACATCGGCGGTACAGTACGCACCACCTCGTCCAGTTATTATGAGAATTCGGCGAGCGTTGGTACCGGACAAACAGTACGGAGTTCCGGTTTCTCTGACAGAGCCCCTTCGACGGGCAGATCGTATTACGAAACCAATCACAGCAATATCGATTTGCCCAGAAGCTACGGTAGAATATCTGCCACGGTGTCTGGTTTGAACGCTTCCTTCAACAGTCAGGGTCGAAATTTTGGAAGAGGATCGGAAGAAGACTACGAGGAAGGGAACGAAGATGAAGACGAGGACAACGACGAGTACAATTCGACTTACAGACCCACGAATGCAACGTACGCGTCTAGGCCAACCGTGGAAACGTTGCACCAAAATCACAATGTTGTGAGTCGTTTGATTCTAGAAAGCAACTTTGTTAAAGTTTACGCTGTTTATGGGTAAATTGCGTTTAAAAATAAATGTTTACAGCTTCTTAGCGGCGTTGATGCTACTGTATCGGGGGAGTATCAAACGACGACGGCAGAAACAACTGAAAATATTGGGATTTCGATTGGGGGAGGCTTAAAGTATTCAGAGTCTGTCGAAGGATCGTATTACAGTCCCGGTTACTATGGTGCTCGAGGTTCACCAGGTCCACGTGGATTTCCAGGACCTCCAGGTGTGCCTGGGGCACCAGGTAAGAAAGGAGAACCAGGAAGGGATGGACTGTCGGGTTTGCAAGGTGCTCCTGGTCCACCGGGTAACGTTTTCATAATACCATCGTTGACCCAACAAAGCAACGATAAGGGACCAGATAATCAGGCGGAAGCTTTGAGGCAAATGCTTTCGCAACATATGATGGCTATGAGAGGTGCTGAAGGGCCCATGGGCATGACTGGTATCCCAGGTCCCGAGGGACCGCCCGGATCGCAAGGACAAAAAGGAGAACCTGGCGATGTCGGAGAACCTGGTCCTCGCGGTGAAAGGGGTAAATTCTACGAAATTCATTTAAATAATTAATTCAGAACAGTGTTTATCGTTCGAACGAATTATTTCGTTATTATTCATATTTCTAGAGCTTTAACACTAAATCTAGTGTTAAATCTAAGAAAAAAGAGTCTCGATAGACAGATAAATTTTAATTCCAGTAGAAACATTTCTTCTGTATGTCTTGTATGTAAGTAAGACGCTGGTACGTAACGGGTTAAGTGTAGATTGAAACGATTACTTTAGAATATAAATATGGATGGATATTTTTGTTTACATTAAAGTAAAAGGAAAATTTATGAATCGACAGGAATTCCTGGTACTACTGGCAGGGAAGGCAGACGAGGTCGACCTGGAAGAGACGGTGACAGAGGTATAAGTGGACCGCCTGGAATGAAAGGTGAACAGGGTGGACCTGGACTGCCTGGACTACCAGGAGATAAAGGTGAAAGGGGACCAACAGGAGCTACCGGAGAACCAGGTTTACCAGGTCACGAAGGGATGCAAGGTGACGATGGTTCGCCTGGTTTACCAGGTTTACCCGGTGAAATGGTAAGAAAAATACTGCAACAGAATAGTATTATATAAAAATAAAACATGTTTTAGCAGCAATAAAGTCTCATATGCTTCGAGATCATTTTAGGGACCCAGAGGATTCATAGGACCACGAGGTTTTCCTGGATTGCCGGGTAACCCTGGTATTCCAGGGAGCGAAGGCCCGCCGGGAGCAAAAGGCAGTACTGGCCCTCAAGGAGCTTCAGGTTCACCAGGACCACCAGGTCCGGCGGGAGCAGTTGGTCCACCTGGTCCTCAAGGTCTTCTAGGGCCAACTGGTTTAGTTGTAAGTTTTAATAAAGCTTATTAGCGTTGAATGTAACTATATCGAGCCTTCTGTTATTTACGTTTACCTAAAAAACAATATTTTACAATTTGATTAGGGGCCACAAGGAAAGCCCGGAATTCCCGGTCTTCCAGGAGCAGACGGGTCGCCTGGTCATCCAGGAAATCCAGGAGTCCCTGGAATGAAAGGTGAACAAGGACCCCAAGGTCCTCAAGGACCAATAGGATTCCCTGGAACTCGCGGCGTAAAAGGCGACGAAGGTAAACGTGGAGCAGCTGGCGAACGCGGAGAAAAAGGTGAAAGGGGACTGGAAGGAGAAAAAGGCGACGCAGGCGCGAAGGGAGAAATTGGATCGACAGGACCACAAGGAATTCCTGGCTTGGAAGGTTTCGAAGGTCCCAAGGGTTTCGAAGGTCCACGGGGTGAAACTGGACAAACTGGTCCGCTCGGTGAGAAAGGAAAAATTGGTTCTCCGGGTTTTATTGGATATCCTGGAAATATTGGTGAAAAAGGTGATAAAGGTCAACCGGGGAGACAAGGCACTAGCGGGGATAAAGGAGAGAGGGTAAGAAAATTAAAAAAGTATCATCAGGTGCGTGAAAATCAAACACACGTTTCAATGACGTGGACATATATTAATTTATTTTAGGGAAATATTGGTACGCAAGGGGAACGCGGTGAACCAGGACCTAGAGTAAGCGAAGAAAGACAATTTTCGTCTATTCTGTACTAAGACTAAAGAAAAATTCTTCTAATAAAGGCATAGTAGAGAATAGAGTAAGAAGACAATTATTTTTTGTAAAGGGTTTCAGAGGTGCTCGTGGAAGACGAGGTGCTGAAGGGTTACCAGGGCCAAAGGGAGACACAGGACAACCGGGTCCTCCAGGACTTCAAGGAGAAAGTGGTCCACCCGGCGTTGAAGGTCCTCGTGGTTTTGTTGGACCCCCGGGACAAGCTGGTCTTGATGGGAAAGACGGTATTCCTGGTCCACCTGGAGAACGTGGACCAGTGGGAGATTCGGGACCGTTAGGACCACCAGGCGCTTCTGGTGTAATAGGACCGCAAGGTCCTGCTGGAGAACCTGGTCAACCTGGAGAACCTGGAAGTCCTGGAAACCCTGGAATTCCTGGTGAAACGGGTCCTCCTGGGGAACAAGGAAAAGAGGGGCCACCAGGACCCTCCGGTTTATCAGGAAAAGAAGGCCCACCTGGTCCTGGTGGTTTGCCAGGATTTCCTGGGGAACGAGGACTGAATGGTCTACCGGTTTGTTCTATTTTGTTATAATTACACCTGCGACTTGTCGTGTCAGACTTTTATAAACCCAAAAATGTTGTATATATTTTACGAATGAAGGGAATGCCAGGTCCAAAAGGGGATATAGGATCGATCGGAGCTCAGGGTCCACAAGGCGATAAAGGTGCTCAAGGAGAACCTGGAAAAGATGGCGAAACTGGACCTCAAGGAAGTCAAGGGCCGAAAGGGCCACTGGGACCAGCTGGTTTGAAAGGCAACATGGTAATAGATACGTAAACAAACTAAATCAAAGCAAATTCGAATTATTGCATCATACGTTTTGATTTGTTAGGGTGAGCCTGGATTGGCAGGACCTATTGGACGAGACGGTCTACCAGGCCAACGTGGGTTACCAGGATCTCCGGGTCCTGTTGGAGTTCCAGGGGAAGATGGCGACAAGGGTGATATTGGACCACCTGGTGAGAAAGGATTTAAGGGGTCTCAAGGAGAAATGGTAAGTTTAATTAGGAGTACGTTAAAGATGACCCGTTAAAATTGAAAGTACACTATGTATACAACGACAATACTATTATTTTTAAAAGGGTCCTCCAGGACCATCTGGAATACAAGGACTTCGAGGCGAACCGGGTGCAATTGGATTGCCTGGTGAGAAGGGACCGCCAGGAGAAATTGGAAGACGGGGACCGAAAGGCGAAGATGGTCCTGTTGGCGCACCAGGTTCATCCGGGCCCGTAGGCCCACAAGGATTACCCGGACCACCTGGATTAAAAGGAGAAGTCGGTGACGCTGGTATAATTGGTCCGGTGGGGCCAGCTGGAAGTCCGGGGGAACAAGGTCCAAGAGGTCCTAAGGGTTCTGAAGGTTTACAAGGTCCTCCCGGGCCTGAAGGACGCCAGGGAGTAAAAGGAGAAAGTGGAACGCCAGGACTTCAGGGTACAAACGGGCCCGAGGGAAAACCAGTAAAAGGATTTTTTAAATTCGTGTTTAAGAAATTTTAAAAACGAGGAAATTATGACTACCTGCTGTAATATGTGCTATAGGGTGAAAGAGGACCTCCAGGCCCGAAGGGCGAAGAAGGTAAAAGTGGACCACCAGGACCACCTGGTAATCGTGGAATAAATGGTCCAGAAGGGCCGAAAGGACACGTAGGGCCTCCTGGTTTCCCTGGGCCTCCCGGAGAGCCGGGTTTGGTCGGTCCAAAAGGAGAACCAGGCAAAGACGGAGATGATGGCAAGCCTGGAGATCCTGGATCTCCAGGGGACGTTGGCCCCCCAGGAAAAGAAGGGTTGCCTGGCCCATCTGGGAAGCCGGTAGAAAATTGTATAATATTCTGATCAATGCATGCAACAATTTTCTTGAACGATTCAAATTCTAAAACTGAAAAAAAATAATTAATTAAGATTGATCCATTGATCAAGTTCATCTATTTTATTTTTAAGGTAGTATTTTTAATTCGTTTGATATTTAGGGACCAGAGGGTCTAGCAGGAATGCAAGGAGGTCCAGGCATGCCGGGAGAGAAGGGTGATATGGGCCCACCGGGAGCACAGGGCATTCAAGGCCGCAGTGGGCCTCAAGGTGTACCAGGACCACCAGGCTTATCGGGTCTCAGAGGTCTTCCAGGACTTGCAGGTGAAAATGGCCCGCCTGGAATGTCAGGAGCAGTTGGTAATCCTGGAAAAGTTGGACCCGTTGGACCGAAGGGCCCAAAGGGTGACAGGGGTAGAAGGGGACTCAAAGGACATCGCGGCGAACTGGGCTATCTGGGAATCAAAGGCGAACAGGGCGAAAAGGGAGAGCAAGGAACGCGAGGTGATTCTGGTCGCGAGGGTCCGAAAGGTGATCAGGGGCCTTACGGGTTACCTGGACCTAAAGGAAACGATGGACCTCCGGGACTTCCTGGAATGGAAGGACCACTTGGGCTTAGAGGTAGTGCTGGAAACGATGGGCCAAAGGGTGAAATGGGTCCTCCGGGCCCGCCTGGGCCTCCTGGTCCACCAGCCGAGCAACCGATGATCCCTCCAGAATTATTATTCACGAGAGAACAACTTTTGAGACGGAAACGCGACGGTTCGGAAGACGCGTAAGAAAGTTTCGTAGAAACGTAAAGTGTACGCCCGCTTTTACAGGTACTTTAATTAGGCAATTGTTACAGAGAAAAGGAAGAGAAACAGGACAAGGACTCGGAGAATTTAGACCAAGACGACCGCATTGAAGAGGAGTTGGGGCCCAAATTCTTGGACATGTATAGTTCAATATACGCTATGAGGCAAGAATTGGATCGAATACGTAAACCGATCGGGAGCAGAGAAAATCCTGTAAGAACCTGCAAGGATCTGTTTTATGGACATCCGCGTTTTAACGATGGTCAGTGTCTCTATTATCCTTATTCATTGCTTTACTAATTACGGTATAAAGTTTAACGACACTTTGCTACGAAAAACAGGTTGGTACTGGATCGATCCAAACTTAGGAATGGCTGACGACGCTGTGTACGTTTATTGCAATATGACAAATATGGGCGAAACATGCGTGTATCCCGACATTCACGTAAGTGAAATGCCAAATATACCATGGAGGAAGGAAGACAACAAAACGGATTGGTATTCGAATTTGCGAGGTGGATTCAAAGTGAGTTCGAATATCTGTAATAAGTTAACTGACAAAAGAAAAGAAATGTTTTTCTCGTTATTTATGTTATAGATTACATACGAAGCTATTGGCGTGGTGCAATTAAATTTTCTGCGTCTGTTGAGTCAAGAAGGTTATCAGAATTTTACTTACACCTGTATCAACAGCGCGGCCTGGTACAACATTATGAATTATAATTACAATTACTCGATACGATTGCTCGGTACGAACGAAGACGAGTTTTCATACGTCGGTGTTAAGCCACAAATCTTAGCAGACGGTTGCAGGACGCGTAAGAACAAAGGCGAGACCGTGTTCTTGGTTCGTACTACGAAATTAGAGCAATTGCCGTTGGTCGATTTCTATCCAGTCGATTATGGTTCACCGCATCAGGCGTTCGGTTTCACATTTGGGCCGATTTGCTTCAAATAGATCGAATTATCGAACTCTCATTGGCAAGACTGAATTTCAATTGTACATTATTGTCTTCCATTAACTTTCTTCTACCACGACGATATCGAGATTAATAATATGAAAATTATTAATCGATTAAATTTATTGTTATGTATGTAGCGTGTTTACTAACCGCAAATGAAAACGTGCCGTTCGGAACTTAAGTAGAATGTAAGACGTGCAATGTGAGGTAAAACGCTGTTATTTATGTAGAATACACTGTTAATATTGGAATCGGTTTCACTGCCATTAGTATGTGATGAGTATTGATATTCTGTACAGGCCGACTCTTTCATATGTTTATAAATAAATTGCAATAACATAATCGATTTCTATTCATTTTTAACAACAACATTACGTTTTAGTACCATTACAATTAATACCATAATGCATAAGAATCGTACTAATTATCCATATATACATATATATATATAGACAAGTTATGCACAATTCTTTATACACGTTACTTTGTATATACATAAACAGTTATCATTTTTTTTTAATTTTAAATTGAAATCAATTGTTTATACTATATCAGTAATAATGTTATTAGAATTAGATTATAAGGAAGCCTTCACTCAACGGGTTCCGTGGTGTAGCGGTTATCACGTCTGCTTTACACGCAGAAGGTCGCCAGTTCGATCCCGGCCGGAACCAATTTTTTTACATGTATTTTTATTCTAATTTTAGCATTCCTTTTCTATTTTAAACAAATAATAAAATCTATTCTAAATAATTTCTTCTTTTAAAGCGTTCAGATGTTCTCTGCTAATAGGAAATAGATAAAATAAAATTCAGTATAAAAATTTAAAGAGAACAGTAACAGTTGTAAAAATTTAAAAACAGAAAATAATCACAGTTGATTAAAATTTCATCAGATCTTAAAACGAGAATATAGAACTTAAATATAAAAATAAAAATATGCGGTGTACCTCGATTACCCCCAAATTAAAAAAAAAGAAGATTTTTTCTCTAACACCCAAGACGTGATCGTGTTTAAAAAATCATGTCGAGCAGAGCTGTGCTACACCAACTTCGAACGATAAAGTTCGCTTCATAAACACAGAAATAAACTTGTAAACTGAACTTCTGCTTCTGTAAATAGAAGAGTTAACTCGTATCGAGAAACTCCGGTAAAAATAACTCTCTTATATACGTGCCCCGCGTTTTATCCGCTCGTTTTCTCGAAACGGAGTGAGTTAACTTGTCAGTCGGGACTTACGAGGAATGGAACTTGGCGAAGTTGTTGGATAGTTACGCGAGAGCCACATCGATTCGCATCTCGGATGGGCTGAAAGCGAGAAGCGATTCGGAAGCAAGGAGGGATCGAAGGAATCCGCGAGAACGGCGTTATATGCGTGGGCGAACCGTGAGAAGGGACAGGTGGTATCTTGTCGTGGTGGTCGGCGGTTCACACTTCCAGCTCGTTCTTCTCTGGTGACAAGAAAACCAAAGTGACGGTACAGGGCCGCTTTTAACGTCGACCCTATTCGCCGCGATTGAGTCTGCGACACGGAGCGAAATGTACATCGGGAACAATTTTTTTTTCCCGAATTATATCTGAATCGCGAAATAATTTATTACCCTCTTCTGGAGTATCGTCGAAGGTTCTAAAATTTCCATCTCGAGTATGGATTAAGTAGAGTTTTTTGTATTTTGTAAGCGAATAAAAGTCTGACAAAAATAAATGATTTATGAAGAAATAAAATATTGGTTTAATTTCTCTTTCTAATTATATCTCGTCAAGCATTTCCGTCCTTACTAGGTTATAACTATTTTGAAATAAATATTATCGACAAGATATAGAGGAACGTCCAGTACACAGAATGATACGAATCAGGCCTGTGTTTATGTGGGTGTTATTGCAGAGACGTAAGTAACAAGGATGTGTATTGTTGGTTGGTGTTTGTAGAGGAAATAAAATACGCAGAGAGATTTTGAAAGACCCATTTCGCACGATAAAGTGTACACGGAACGTCGAGAGCGAACACAAGCCGAGTTCTTTTGAAACGGAGCCGTCCCTGTCCCCGAGCGCTCGTCTAAGAAGTGGTGTGGGGGATAAAAGGTTTCCTTGTTTAACAAAATATCGTCTCCGAGCCATTAGCCCGACCGTTACCACTTCAACGCGATTTTCTGCTCCTGCCACGTCGAGGAGGTGCTTCAGAATCTGCGGATCCTTCGAGCCATCAAGTGCAGACTGCTTGCTCTTCCCCGGTGGAATCCAACCCCGGTGCAGTTAAAATTAATTTTCCCGATTCGCTATTCCCTTTCCCTCAACGTTTTAATTCTCTTCTCGTAATTCATAACAACAGTTTATTCGTGTTTATTCAATTTCACGAAAAACATAGCCTGGCTATAGAATTCTGATTATAATTTTTATCGAAATCGTTTGTATTTAAAAGAGAATTTTGGTGTTTGCCATTTCTAGTATTTTACTGTGTCAGTATATTTGGTATTTAGAAGAGAATTTTGGTATTTGCCGTTTCTGGTATTTTACTATACCGGAATATAGCTTTTACTTTGTTTTACCAACGTTGGCTATGTTTGTAAAACATCCCTTGTTTTATGTACATTTTATGAGAATAATGGATTATAATTGAACCGATTTGTCGAAATTGGTGCTGTTGGTATAATACATCCGAATGAGATGGCAATCGTTGGTTTTCAGGTAATGATAAATGAAATATTCATCGACGGTGCTAGTTCTTACGACTGTTTCTCGTAACCGTAATGTCACGGTCCGCGCCGTGTGAAACGCACAGGTGTCGCTCACTAACATTTCATCGCTGTCGTCTTTCTGTAAAGTGCATGAACTAGAATTCCACCTTGAAAGAAATTTATCTGAAACTCGGTAACTTTCGTCGAAGTCGATGCTAAAGCTAATTAAAATCGCGGCGAATCGTTGCTATCGATCGGTTGTTAGAAAGAAGTAATGAAAAAAGGATCGAGATAAAAATTGCTACATCGCACAATAAAATGGGTCATCGTCGAATAAATATCATAATCGTGGCTCAGATAGCGATATACTTATCTGTATGTACGAGTGTAAGTCAAGTATTATTATTAATTGGAACAACCGACCCTCATTAATCCCTTAACGCTCATATTTTTCGGGTTAACCAAGAATGATCAGTTTTCTTTATTGGATTTGTTTCTAAGCTATATAAAAATGCGGTTTTTGTTAATTACAATGTTGTATCTAACGTATAATTTGAAGGAAAACAAATATTGCCATCCCTTAAATCGTTAGATTAAAGAAATATCGTTTTTCAAAGCAGTTAGGGCATGAACGTTAAGGGGTTAAAGAGTGGGGTGGATCAGGCTTGAAAATAATAATTTGACTTTGGAATACGATTTTTAAAAATTCTAACAATTATATATAAAGTTTATATCCCAATTTAACGTATTTTCGTTATTATTGAAATCGCAATATTTTAGTCTCACGATACAATTGACTCAAATTATAATTAAAAACTATAGTAACATCGTTGAACAGCTAGGCGGAACACAATATGCAGCACAAATAATTTTATCAAAAGTTTTATATGTATATGGTTTTTAATTTGTGGAGGAAAGAAAGATTCTTTGAGTTTTCTTATTCCATCCACAATTCAAAAAATAAGTTCTGGTTCTGTAAAATATTAATATTTCAACCTATTATAACATACTATTACTAATTACAACGATTGAGTATTATATTAATTTTGAATTATAAATAGACTGTTATTCGCTTGTAAGACATTTTTCAATTATTTTTTGTATAATTGTACCGTAATTACTATTTTCATATTTGTAATAAGTCATCTATCACGAACTGATCCGAAAACAGATTCGATATAACGATTATTTGAACAGTACTCGTGGGGTGAAAATACGAATGTATTTTATTATTAAGTTAAGAGAAAAATAAACACTATTGTTACTTTCTTTCCTAGTCATCCATATGCTATTTCTCCTGAGTCTCCCCAATTTGATGTGCCTGATCCACGATAGAAAAGTCCTCGAACCAATTTTTGTATATCTATTTTTATTCCAATTTTAGTATTCATTTCTTGTTTTAACAAATAACAGCAAAATCTATTCCAAATAACTCCTTATTTTAAATACTATTGTTATTCTCTTTTCTCTGTGTCTCTCCAGTTTGATGTGCCTGATCCGTGATAGAAAAATCGCTAAACCAATTTTTGTACATCTATTTTCACTCTAATTTTAGTATTCCTTTCTTTTTTGAAGAAATGGCAGCAAAATCTATTCTAAATAACTTCTTATTTTAAATACTAAAATTTGTTACTTTCTTTCCTAGTCACCCATATGCTTTTCCCCCTCTCGGACGAACGTATCTCTCCAGTTCGATGCACCTGATCCGCGACAGAAAAATCCTCGAACGAGCCCCGGGGCGTACGATGCTTCCTCGAGGGCACAAGGACCCCGGATTCTCCAGCGTCGAACCTTCTACGCGATTATTAGAGGAAACGCGTCGTCGGAGTTGACTTTCGCGCTTGCGGCGATGGAGCTTTCCATCCGCGGTGAGTAGGGGAGGGGTGGTTTTGCGTTCGACCCCGAGTGTGCATTTCGCACAACCACCCCGGAGTCGGGAGCTTCGACGGTTTCGCCCCGCCCATCAGCCAATCGTACGCGTGTCTCAGCTACCCCCATTGCGCGCGCGATCTCTCGGTTGGGCGTGTTACCCGGCGGAGGCGATCAACAGCAACCTACCCTGGCCACCCCCGAAGCGGCAAGCGGAGACCAAAAATTACGAGCCATAGATCACGCGTACACGGTGTGCACCTATCGACGCGACAGTCCTCGCGATAAAGGACCTCCGGTTCGATTTAACCCGTTCGGTCCGGCCGCGATCTACCCTCGACTCGGGGGTTCTCTTGCCACGGAGGGACCCGTTCAACACGAAAGGAGCGTCGATCGAAGCATGAACGCGAAGAGGTTCGAACAGTTTTTCGTGATTTTTATCGAGAACTCGAGGGATTTTTTAACGACACCCGGATTTCTTGGGACCGTTCAACCCTCTCGCTCGCGACGCGTCAACCCCTTGCCTTGCGAGTCGATCTCTCTGCTGACGGACATTTTGGACCACGAGCATACGAAAGTTACCTTATTCGATATTTTAGTCGAATTTGTCGAAGTGTTATAAATACGTATTACGAGAATTTGCGCATCCAAATTGGTAAATGATTAATTCGAGATCGTGTGTACCAATGGAACCGTGAGAAGAAATTTTGAAATTCAGTTTTTTTGAGAAACAATAAATATTAATGGATTGA